AACTTATAAAAAATTTTAAAAACATTATTTATTATCATCATCACCATCAAATATTATTATTTGCAAAAGCACATGCATATATACTTACTAGTATTAACAAAAGTTTGCATATATAAATCTGAACAAAGATGCACTCAATGTAGCCCAGACTCATCATTTAACACAGACTCTATCCTACAACTGACCAAGGATGCCCCAGACCCGATCTAATAGCATGGGTCAAGAGAGGTCTGCCATTTAAACCCGTCCCAGTACTCATATCCCCATAGAGCCTGAAAGTTGCCACACGGCCACCATGTAAAGGAAGTTGTGGAATACTCCATGGCACTACGACCAGGGTCATAAGCCACTTGATCAGGATTGGAATATTCTATATATTGTGGGACTGTGACTGACACCAGAGTGTACCCTAAGAATGGTCAATTCTCTGCTATTTAGTGGATGCTTGAATATAGCATAGATTTTTTATTTCTATTTTTACACAACCCATTGAGAATCGTTTCCATTGAACAATAATGTAATAGTCCCAAAATTCTACTCTTGGTTTCATACCTAAGCCGGCAGTCCAGACTTTAGACTTTGTGTTTTGATCTGCATTTTCTGAACCCACATTAATAATGTGCTTATTAATAAAGGGTCTTTATATATAATTCATTTAAGCAAGTTAATACATCATTTCAGACTGCTTGACAAGTTGGAGTGTGCAGTCCTCTAATAGGTACTATAGGTATGTGTAAAGGAAGGTAAATCAAGCGGTTGATTAGATTGCAAATAAAGCTATCTCTTCTGCTCATGGGTCAATTTCTTTTAACCCCTTTAATTTCTCTAAGGATGAGATGTTTGGGGGCGTGCTAACTTTGTCTGTTGGGGCCCAACAGTATAGGCTGTTGAGACAGTTTCTGGATGTTTTGGGCCGTTCATCTATTCATGCCTATGCTTTAGATTTTAGTAAAAATAAATTAAGATATAATTACTAATTTATTCATTCTTAGGATAACGTGGCATTCCCAAAAATTCTCCCAATACAAAGTTTTTCCCCACATTCAAGCCCAAAGGACATCGATCTCACTCCCTCAATCGAATAGAAATGATAGGGTTTACATTTGCCTGTTGGAAAAGTTGGTGAAGACTTAATTTGTTTAATCCCAACTTTTGATGAACAGTAGTAGTGTAGAAGAGAGCAGCCGGCCATGAGTCGGATACCAGAGACAAAGATGGAATAAAATGGGGACCCACCAAAAATCTAATCCCACAGACCCTTCCATCATGAGATATGGGAAGAAGACCTATGAGATTGATTCATCATTCAATTTGGATAGGAGGTGAAAAGCCATAAATATTTTCTTTTGCGATGCGAATGGGCTACACAATGGGGGGTGAAAAGCCAGGATTCCTGGCATGGAATTCAGGAAGAGGGAGGGACACAAAGCCGTGGCCTTTGTATTTTGTTAGCGCTGTACTTATTACAACTTAGAAATCTTCACTCGAAATCATGAAAATGTCGGATCCGTATGTCAAGTGTGAGCCAAACAGTTCCTTTACTTGAAAAAGTTTCAGAATATCAAGATTATGCTTTATGAAGATGGTGTTGTCGGAAAGCATAATCCTTTCCTGTCACTCAAAAAGTGTTTTAACTTTTAATCTTTAAACTCAACGAGTCAACTCTAATCTCAGCCAACCCGACTCGACCTCATACCACCTTATCACTTGACCGGGTTAATTAAATCCAACTCCGGAAAACTTGGAAAATTAATACAACTAGAACCGAGTCATCAAACTCTGGTTTGGCCCGGCTAAAAGTGTTTCTTCTTCAAGGAGCATGCATTTTGGACCAGCTGGAATCACCTTTATAGAAATCCTTGTTAGAAACTTTACATGGGGCCAACGAGGATGTGACATGCGCCTCTTGAAAGGGATACTTAGGGAGAAGGACATTATGTATTGATCAAAATGTCTATCATCATCATCATCCATGGTTAATGGTAATTAATTGGTTTATTTCAAAGCTTCTTAATTAGGAAACTTCTATATATGATTTTTAAACTTATGAATGAGTATTTTTAATTAGGTGTGTCTTAAATTTTGTTCTATTGAAAGCTCATCTGCCACATGAAAACACCCTTTTGACTTTTTGATCCTTTCAGGAACCAAAGATAAGAGAATCTAGAGTATAATGTTTCTTTTTTCAAAATGATCTTCATTGTCAAAACCCATGTGATGCATGGGGTTTAATAGAAATTTGGTTGAAGGCTATAGAAAAAAAAAATAAGTGAAACCATAGGGTATGGTTTTAAAGTCAAACATTCTTTGTAATATCAATTATTTATGAGATATAAGGTGTGAAACAAGTGATAATAAATATCTAATATTAAAATAAATGATGACAAAGGAAAAGAAAGTTAAACTAAAAAAGAGAAAACAACATTCCTCCAAGGTACTTAATTTCACAATTATGGTGGAATCCTTCTTTTCATGACAAATCACAATGAAACAGATGCTAAGAATTCTACTATATATAAACTTCCACCTACAGACAGTCATTGTGGTATCTAACTTTTAATTGAAAAAGGATGAAAAACAAATATAAAGACAAGTATATTATGCATTCTATGTATTTTGAAATTGGTCAATTAATCGAAAATGAAAGGTAGAAGTGCCAAACTTGAGTAATAAGCCTTTCAAACCTTACCAATCTGCCCACACTCAACTGAACCTGCTAGAGCCAAAATAAGCCTAACCCTAATTTGAGTTGAATCTGGTTTGCTTAGGGCTGGGCTTGGGTTGGCAAACTCAGGATTTGACCTTGACTTGGCTCGGGCTCAGGCTCGAGGTCCATATGCCTTAGGGTTGAGAACCTAGGTTGGCCCTAAACCCGGTCAAACCCCCTCCCCCTATCAGAGGAGCAATTCTGAACTCATTTTTGGTATTTGTTATCATAATGCAGAATGAGATGTAAATTTAATTTACACCACGAATATTTCAATGTTGCACTAATTGCACCAATTATTTTGCAAACATAAATGCATGGCAGAACAAATTAGAACTCATGTTACAGCATTATTTATAGATAGATTAATGTGCATGTACTGAAAAATATATTTTTGTATCATAGAATTCACATTGAAGGATTTAAAAGAGCTAGGGGCAGTTCAAAAGGGATTCTGTTAAAGAAAGAAATGATTTAAAGACCCGTAATTTATCAGTGGAAAAGACATTAAATGGAGGGAGTGTAATGGTAAAGCAAGATTCAATTCATGTAGTCAAACCCCATATAGTTGGGAAAAAGCTCAGTTGAGTTGAGAATTTATATATGTTAAGGAACAAAGTTAATAACTTATTACAATGTTATATATGTTTAATATCAACCTAGTAATCATATATAAAACAAATAAACTTTGTTTGTAACTAGGAGGCTTGGGTTAGGGTGATGGAGCTAGCTCCATCGGCTCATTAATTACAAATTGACAAATGACAACCCTAACACACCTTGTTTGTTGTTTATGCAATATCCAAAAAGGTTTCATCAATTCGGCTAAAATTTTTGACAAAAGCCCAATGCAAAGATGAAGAGGTTCCAATATATAGTGAATATTGTTTCCATCGATCACTTGGACCTTCTAAGATTCAAGTGACGGTTTTTTTTAGGGCATCTGGTTTGAGATCTACTGCAGGTAGATTTCTAAAATCCAGCTGCTCCATTAGGATTTTGGAACTAATAATGATCAGAATTTCAGTAAAATCTAATGGAAATTAATTTAATTAGAATGTTATTCCAAATACAACCTTTAGGAGGAATTCAGGAGGGGTGTGGGGGTGGGGATTCTCAGGTTTCATTTAATGGGGGCTTCTGATATCTTCTATATCTGAGTCCTGTGTCAAAAACTACTGAAGGCATCGGCACGAGCCCTGTGGACCTTGGTCTGATATTAGCATGGCCAAGAACACAAGTTTCTCTAATTTTGGAGCAATATATATAGATGAACTGAGATTGGTTATGTTGTTGGCTTCGACGTAGATGTACTTTTAATTAATTTGGTTGTTGTGTATGTGGGAACCTTTATATGTACTCCTTTTTCTCTTCAACTGTTCATTGATAGTCAATGATGAACATATTTACAGTATTTTGTCCATGTTATATATCACAACTCCAACCGTGTGCCTCGTACGAGTAATTAATTAACTTTTTTTTTTAATTAAACAAACAATATTGAAATTGAAGCTTGCAAATTACATCCTCATTCAGATGGTTATTGGGCTAACTCTAAATCAGAAGAAGATGAATATATTGTTTAATTTTTTTTTTCAACTCAGAAAGGACTAATGGGTTCCCTTTCTCTATCCTGAAAAAGAAAATTCAAAAGAAGGCAACTGAAGTCACCATCTTCTTAAATCTTAACGACAAGAAGCTAGCTACGTCTAAAAAATATTTTGAAGTGTTTCTTTGATATTAGAAGATCAAAGGAGAGAGGCCCCCAGAATGATAAAATGAGGATTTTAAAAGAAAAGTGGATTAGCTGGGGGGCCATTTTGTTGTTTGATGGAGCCTCGTAACTCTAAAGGTCGACCGCTCATCACTGTGACAAATGGCAAAAGACGCCGACAGGGGATAGGCACTAGAAAAATAGTGTTCCTAGCTCATCAAAATACTGGGGTCATGGAAATATGGAGCCACCGATGAAAGTGTAACAGTGCAACTTACTATCGTTTTCACAAATAATGTTAAGGTGGGTCATTGTCGTTGTTGTGAGTTGGTTTTGTTGCTTGCTTCATTTTTCATTCATTAATTACCAATTATGATAATGATCGTCGATATGCCTAATCACCAGAAGTTTTTCTTCTTGTAGCAGCTAGCTAAGCTTATCATCACTAGCTCATCAGCCATCTGTGATTTGTAGTTGTTGATGGTCGGTTTCTCAGAGAAGTGTTGAAACTCTGGCTGTCAACCGAAAACTGTAGCTCAGGGTCTGATGATGAGGAGCGAAAGAGTCGTGATATAATAACATATTGAGGTTATGTTCAATTAATGAAGGTTGGATCTACTACAAAACAAGGATTGTTAAATGAAAAATCTGGGGAGAATCCACAAATGCAAGTGATGAGGTGGAGAACAGAGCAGAAGGTCCAGAAGCAGACAACGTAACAGGTGCTCTCAACCAACAGGGGTAGAGTGTGATGGTGTTGTGTTGGTGCCCCCATGCCAGAATATATATCAAAGCACATGAATGCAAAGATTATCTATCTTGTCTTGTCGGAAAGTGCAACATGTGACGCAGGTGGGATCCATGCACTTTTTTCATTTGCTCATGCACACCGGCCGGCCGGTTCTGACTTCTGAGTTCTCCTCCAAAGTCCAAAGATTAAAGTGCAGCTGCTACCTGCTAGCACCAATCCCTTTAAATTCACTGGCTCCGGGTTTCTTGAAGATGATCAAATTTTCCACATTTAATTACGAGACTACATTCACAGCATCAGAGGTCATCAGATGAGGATCGATGTGACTTGTTAACTGCTGGACATCTCTCTCTGGAGGTTGTTGAGGCTAGCCGAAAGATGGATTTTTAAGTTGTTGGAGGATGAAATTGAGAGTGAGACAGAGGGTGGTTGATGGAAGGGGGGTTAGGGAACTGTGGATGAAATAACAAGTGAGAGACGAGTGAGTGGAAAGGGAGGACGGTGCGATAAAAATAAATGGGAAAAGAAAGAAAGAAGAGGTTATGATAGTTCTCTTCTGCAGGATGGTGGAGTGGAGAGAGCATCGATTGAAATTCGATTTGGAATTGGAAGGATTTGAGAGACTCATCATTAGTCACCGTGGAACAGAAATAGACACAGGAGGACATTTCAAATTGGACGACCCTTCCCCCCACTCTTTTCTGTCTTGACTTTTTCAATATTGATGAAGTACCGTTTTTTATTTTTTATTTTTATTTTCATAATAATAATAATAATAATAATAATAATAATAATAATAATAATAATAATAATGTTTAATTAGTAATAGGCCAAAAAATGGAGTCCAGGTCTCCCTTTCTTGTAAGGCAATGGATATTTTCTTTGATCAGTTGCAACTTTTCAAATTAGGGAAAAGTGTCGTATTGGCCACGGATGATATGATGTGTCTAATGGCCCTTAGTTTACTTGGAGAAGACATGAAAGAGAGATTTTCTCCTTTATAAGGCTGGTTCAATTCTATTGACCTAAAAATTTCTTAGATGAGGAGAAGGTGGAGTGACTAGAACATTATATTAATTACTGGGCTACCATATATATTCCAGTTATGATACCAGCTGGGTCATCAGGATCGGACCAGGAAATTCATCATGCTTCTAACCTTCTTTTTCTCTTCTTATTCTAATTTGGTCATTCAACCACCCACCATCTTTATTGACAAGACTCACAAAAGATGACTCCAGAACTGCTACTAACCATATGTAATAGAACTATATATGAAATTAATCAGAATTCAGAAGTAAAGATGTCGATCAGTTAACGTTGGTGGTACATCTGGGCTTAGAGTTACTATAGAATATATATATATATATATATATATATATATATATATATAAGAGTGATGAGAGAACAATAATTTTTCCTTTCACAACTATTAACATAGAATCTCTTCTCATCTTCGTCTCCCTTCCAAACCAACCCCTCTCCTCCCGAAAGAAAGGAAAAATATAGTAAGTTTGATCATAAAGTTGAGAACTGAAATGAAATGTGTCTTTTCTATTATTTTACTAACATAGTAATTGCTTGGCCACATAGTGGGCTTCCACCTTGGAGGTCACTTGGTTCAAATTTCAAAATGGGTTTCAGATAGATCAGCCCCATATATATTATACATCAAATTTCTAACTGTCCAAAACAATACATTAAATTATTAAATTGGGTGGCTATGATCACCAAATGGCTAAATACATCTTCCAACCGTCCATTAGTATTGTTCCTACATAACCTTACATTCCAATAATGTCTTGATGCAAGTATTCTTTAAAACTTATCTTTATTTGGTATTTGGATTCTAGTCTGCCATTAGGGAATTCCTGTTGGATGTGGGTCCATTTGGTGGATTCACACCCGGTCAATTAATGTATTCGGGTTTTTGGATCCAGAAAAAGAAATGAATATATGGTGGGATACATGTTCCTTTCTATCAAATCTCCATTGTTGGATTCCTGTCTGGTTTATTTTAAAAGGGTAAACCACTACTGCCTCCCCTCAAGTTTATCTATTAACTTATACTCACTTTCGTCACAAAGTTACAAGGGTTTGGTTTGTTGGTGGAAGAGATGGTATTAAGACATAAACAGTTGTTTTATTAAAATTCCCTCAAATAATAAATTATTTAATTTGACTTCTAAAAAATATATATTTTTTAAAAATTGATAAATAACAATTTTAACATCTCTTTAATATCATGGCAGAAAAAAAAAACTGTCCCCTAAAAAATTATAAGGAATATATATGAATTTTTAAGAAGTTTTAATTTCTGTCACTAAAACTGATGGGATGACAACTTAATGAAGTAACATAAACTCAACCACAAACTATAAGGGAAGACATAAATAAATACCATTTTAAAATGTAGATCTTCGGCAAGGTCCAAATCCATTATATACGGGTATGAGTCGCTAGTGTTAGATGTCGGGTCAACCGCTCCATTTTATGCAGTATCCACCATATGTAGTAGCATCCAAGAGTGCCTAAGCAATAATAATTTAATAATAATCAAATCAAATCCTAAGAGTTATTATCATGAAAATAAAAAAAAAAAAATGAGTTATCGTTATTGTAAATAAATAAACAAATAAATAGCGTAAAAATGAAAACACAAGTAGATGAGATGAGATGAGATGAGATGGCAACAGTGACCAATACATTTTCTTTGGACAGTCTTAAGAATATGAGAAGGAATAATCTGGAGAAGACATTCCACCGGCGCTTGCCAGTGGACCAGCACCAACACCTGAAGCCCAAACAGGTCGATCGCACCAACAGATTGTACGGATATGGGCAGCTGCTGGGAGGAGAGATCGATAAAGAGATTAATAAGATCCAAGTGATCGAGTAGGTTTCAGACTCTCTCTTTCTGAAGGGAGACGAAGAAGAATCTTCAGAGAACCGCCAGCTACTTACTTCGTCCCATGGAAGGAGATCGAGGAGCTCCGCGCAGCTGCTACGAACTAGAGGTGCCCTTCTCCACTACTCCACAGCCAATTCAAGAGATGGGTGGTTTTATGCAGTTCGAAGAAAGCCAGGGCCTAAGCTTCTTGGTCCCTTCTCAGTCGTCTCAGCTGTCTCTGCCTCTCAACCACAACAACAATGGCAGCAGCAACAGCGTGGGGCTTAATGGCAACGAAGTTGCTACGAGGCCTCTTTGGAATGACACCCAGGTGGTTGAGTTGTTTGACAATGAATTCTGCGAACGAAGAATTAACGAATTAAAATATAATAATAAGAGATGGAAGAATATATTCATATAAAATGATGAAATCAACAACGTATACTTACTTGTTTTGGCGCTTTCCCTGGTAGTATCTTACTTGTTGGGTTTGTGATTGTACTGAGTTGCTTGTTATTTTCTTCATTGATATTTATTCTGAACCGGATCAGGTGGGGAAGTTGGACGCCAAGACTATTAATGAAGAGAACTCCAGCGGTAACGTTAACGATGGCAACAATAATTCATGGTACCTTTCTCTCCATTCTTTTCAAGGGTTTCCTTCCTTGGGTTTCTTTATTCTCTATTTTTCTTTTCGGATTTTGCCTTCAGATGTTCAAACATTATATGGCCTAGTTTCTATGCTCATCAATCTCTCTCTCTCTCTCCACTCACAGATAAACATCTAGAAGAATTTAATTACTATAGTTCCATTGTTGCAGGTGGAGAAATTCATCTTCAGATAAGAACAAAGTAAAGGCGAGGAGGAAGCTTAGAGAACCAAGATTTTGTTTTCAAACAAGAAGCGATGTGGATGTGCTAGACGATGGTTACAAATGGAGGAAGTACGGACAGAAAGTTGTCAAGAATAGCCTCCACCCCAGGTAATCTTCCTACTGTGATTTCTGAAATAATGAGTAGATATAGATATGAAACTACAAAAGATAAAGTCAGTATATATAGCTGAATAAATAATATATGCTTAATATATTATTTATTTGTTTTAGTTGATTTATATCTATATATATATATATATATATATATATATATTTAAAATCAGTCAGCAATTGATCATACAGATAAAAGAGCAGAAGTTTCAATGATTTATAATTGTATGGTTGCACCAGTGTTGTTGATTGCACTAAGATTTTATCCCTTATATACAATATACCTGGCTTCTCTTGTTTTATCTTCCCCTAGAAAGACTCATTAGGAGAAGAGATCGAAGAAGCTTGAGAAAATTGTAAGATTTAAGTTAATCACTTAATACGTACGCCACAGTGGCAAAGTAACAAAAGTGAGCAAGTACATAAGACATATATTTGCTGATAATAACGACACCAGTGTGTGGTCCACAGAAATTTGGTCAGTTGATGAAGACCACTGTGTCATATATGTACCTGATTCCTGCCATTCTCATGATGAAGCTCTAGTCCATATATACTTGTTAAGTGAAATCACAGTTACATATATTAATGGAGACACTTGGTTAAACTTCAAAGCCCTTAATTTTGATGAGAAGCCACTGTGATCCAGTTTAATTTTTCTCAACTTAACATTCTAATTTGGATTAATTGATCTTGGTCCGGCAAGGTCAGTGTCCAATGGCAGCGTCCTTGTTTGCTATTATAACAAAGCTGTCTGCCCATTTTCCTTGCATTGAACCACTACCACCCATTTATTCTCTCTTGGTTTTGCATGGAAAATGTTAGAGGCAAACTCCCATTTACATGTGGCAATCAATGGACCCACAACTGCTCTAAATCCATTGGGCATATCTAGATCATGGATTTATTTGATTGTCCTTTCGTTGGCTGAAGGCTATTCCTTCCTTGGTGTCTATTACATTTCCTCTCATTATAATTAGTCTTTATTATTAGTGTACCTGTTTTGGTTACTGCCTCTTTTATTATAATAGTAGAAATGTAAACAAATGAAAGTTCAAGTTATAAAGCTAATATTTCGAGTTTCACAGTGATCAACTATTACCATCACACCTAATGAAAACCAAATCAGATAGTTGGCCTCATTTTTCCCCCCTATATATATATATATATATATATATATATATATATATCTAGTAAGCATAAAATGTAGTCTAGTTGTTCTTTTCTCTGTCATGCACTTAATGGGAAAACCCAAGTGTTCTGCTGCCTAGATCATGGAGTTGGTTACTCTACTCAAGTTATTACATATGTGATGTTTTCATGAGATCTATTTCCAGTATCAATAGAAAGGTGAGAATGTTATATATGGTAGGTATATGATGCTTCATAATAAGACTACCCAGAATAAAATGATATCTTTGTGCTATTCCATAGAATTTGAGAAACACCAGGTTTGAACATCTAAGGGATGCATGAAGCATGAAAGAATAAGCGTTTGTTTATTCTCAATGTATCTTATTCTACTATTTACTTGAAAACAAATATTGCAGAGCTGCACAATGTGATCAATACTTGGGAGGATTATGATGTGCCCTATCCAAGGTTGTCCTTCAAGTAGGGGATCCTATAGATTGGTCACATGAAAAGGATCTTATAATATATGGAAAGGCCTTTAGTCCAGAACTTGTTCATTGAACATATTTAGGGTTGGAAGAGGAAAATGGGGAGTTCTTTTTTACTCCAAACTCAGTTGCCTCTTGGAAGATTCATGAATCATTTAGATAGCTTTCTTGAATGACGACTCAACTAGCAAACCCGCACTCAAATATAAAATTTAGCTAATTACCTTATAAAAGGAAACTAGAGGCATCTACCCTTGATTTCTCATCAAGGGCAACTTCCCATCCAATTTAATAGTATAGTTATTTTACCTTATGGCCTCATACATACATTAAAACATAGTTATCCACTATAAAAAGGTGTAGCAAAAGTAAGAAAGTTAGAATTTGAAGTGAATAGAGATGAGCTAACAATATAAATAATAGCACAAGATGTTATGTCTCTTACTACTTTTTGCAAGATAATTAGATAATCGATTCTATTCTCAAGTTTTTTGTAAATTTCCCTCCAAGTAAATATAACATCCAATTAATGTTATTATTTTGTAGGGATGATCATCAAAAAATAAATAAAAACCAAACCGATGAAACCGAATAAAAAATTCTGGTTAACAAAACCGCCCGGTATATATATTATCTACATATTATAAATGAACATATATGCATTATATATAAATATATATTTATAAAATATAATATATTATATGTATTCCTACTATTTTATAATATATACTGAATTTCAAAAAACCAAAAAACTGACAAACCAACCTGGTTGGAAACTGAACTGATCAACCAGTTAATCAATGGGCTTCCGTTTGGTTTCAGTTCCTAACTTTCCAAAAACTGGTAGTATTGGTTTGGTTTGGAAAATAGCCCGGCCCATGATTCGGTTAACCGAACTGTGAGCACCCCTATTGTTTTGTTTTTTCCAATCTTCCATATTGTCAATATTGAACTCCACATTTTTTGCATAAGTAACTTTTTATAGTGAATAACTGTGGTTTGGTATATAACTTTAAAAATATAATAAAAGATTTTGAGGCCCTTAGCCCTCCATGTGCTTTAATTGAAAATAATATAAAACAAAATCAATTTAAAGAACTTATTAGAGTTATAAAATTATTGTGGGGGAAATAAAAAGGAAACTAATCCATTTGTTTTCTTTATAAAATACTGCATACGAGGTAAATAAAACATAAATTTACACGTTTTATAGTGGATAACTATGATTTAGTGTATCATTTTAAAAATATAACAAAAGATTTTGAGGCCCTCATCCCTCCATTTGATTTAATATAAAACAAAAGCAATTAAAAGAGAAACTATGTTTTGCTATCCATTTATTTTCTATATAAAATATTGCATACAAGGCAAATAAAATATAAATTTACACTTATCACGAATTTATAAAAGAAAGGTTATAGGCTTGACCCTTATAGGATTTTTTTTCCCAAATGATTCAAATACCTGAGAAAATTTTGACTCCATATTTGACAACTTGTGCTATTCACAAGTTTTCTTCATGTGACACATTAGTTTGTCCACATAGCCATGCCTCGAGCATTGTTACTCTTTATGGAGTCTATTAAATGTGGACAGCCAAAATTTTCTCCTTGTTATCTTATACGGGAAATGTTAGAATACTATTTGTATAGGCAGCAACCTATAATTGTCCTTTTATATTTTAAGTGAGTTTGGGGCCAACAGCCTTTCCTGTTGAGAGAGTTTTTGGGTTAGTCAGGTTCATGGCACAGCCATGCTTTTGTTTTGACTCAAAATAAATCAGAAGGCAATTACTAATTTGTCCACTCTCATGGTAACATGCCCAACCCAGAAACTCTCTCAACAGGAAAGGAGGGACAGATGTACACAACGTTACCTCTGCACATATAGAAATGCTATTTCCAAGATTTGAACCTTGGTTGCCTAGGTCCTAATGGAACAACTCAACCTTGAGTTTGTAAGTTACAATTAATAAAAGTGGGTAGAAAGGAAATGAAATACAATCAGTTTTCTCTCTCACCCAACCCTATTTTCTTTTCTATTTTTTTTTTCTTTATATTGTTCTATTCTCTTCTCAGCCTCTTGCTCTTTCTATTTCACATTAAATCTAAGATTAATTCAGGCTGATTATAGGAAACATGATGCCTAAGTATAAATTCTAGATCATAATGAATAAATATGCCTTTTTTTTTAATTTATTATTAATTACTGGAATTTTATTCATTCTAATAAGTTTGTTTCTTTTATGGTAATGTTTGCTTATGCATTTAAGACAACATGACAGAAAGTGACTACTTAAGAATAGATAAATAATTTTATGACTCTCAAGAACCAACATATTAAATTAAGGAAAATTAAATAACATGCTGAAATAATGTAAACTCAAAAGAATACTTTTTTAAATTATTATAACATTTGTTAAATATGTGTAGAAAATTGATTCATTTGGTACCAATGGAAAAAAAAATATACCATTAATTCTGTTCCATATCCAAGTGGATGAATGAAATTGATAAAACAGAAAGTGACTACTTAAGAATAGATAAATAATTTTATGACTCTCAAGAATCAACATATTAAACTAAGGAAATATAAGATATTGAAATAATGTGAGCTAGAAAAAAACCTTTAAAATTGTTAAAACATCTGTTAAATGTGTCTGTATCAATTGATTCATTAGGCACCAATGAAAATAAAAACATATATCATTATTTTTGTTCCACATACAAGTGGACAAATGAAATGCACTCAATCATATGTCATACATTAAAATGATCATGTTTGTATTTAGAATGCATTCTATTCCTCATTTATTTTATATGGCCAAAAAAATGTTCCATACCATTTACATGAATTATTTATTTATTTTGGTATTGAATAACTTGCCTTTACCCCCATAGGGGCCGTATTTCAATTTTCCTTAGCATAGTATATATATTACTTTTTTCTAGAAACATTAATAACTCTTCTCAAAGGTGGTGAGAATCGATAGCAGGGCTCGACCTCACTTAGGACTGCCCAAATTACGTGCCAACCGAGCCACCACTCAATTGGCATACCATTTATATGAAGTTGTGGGAAGAAACCGTTAGATGCTTTTTAGTTAATAAGAAGCTTGCTATAAGTATCTTGATGTTTTGATTTACATTAAACTACCTCATAATCATAATCCTTTCTTATTTATTGACTCTTAAACACTAAATCATAGTTATCCACTATAGAATGGTGGGGCTCAGAAGTTGAAGAACTTATGTAAGATTTGAACCCATGACTATTTGGTAAGCATACAACAGTACTCAAGCCAATCTTAATAATACACATCAATTTTATGTAGTTTAAATATTGTCTTAATTATTGGGGTAGATTCACATTCAATCTAATTATAAGCATATCAAACTAGGATCACCTTAACCAGATCACATTTGAACTCAAATTAATTCAAACAATGGACATCTTTTTCAGCCATATTAGAAGAGAAAAGGTGAGAGAAAGCATCAGAAATAGTAGCATCAAATGTTATATTAAGTTTGAGGGAAAAGTTGTAACACGAACTTGTGGACTAATTAATTAATGATTAAGTGGTGTATTTTCCTAAAAGGCAAAAAATTGTGGAGAGTAAATTGAATGGACAAAATTGCCCACAAGAAGTCAGGATACGACTAACTGCCTCTTGTACTTTTTGTATAAGGTAATTAGGCTGCATTATTTGGCATTCCTTATTTTATGGATTTATATCCTTTTTTTTGCAGTTAAAAAGCTCAGTGTTCATATGGGTATTTTCACAGCAAAAATGAGATAAGTCCTTAAAATAAGAAATGCCAAATGCAGCCTTATATCTATATCCTTCTTACTTGTATGTAATCCCTTCAAGGAAATTTGAGTATCTAAATTTTTCCTAGGAACCTGCATGTTACTGTAACTTGAACAAATATGAGGAGGTTTCTTTTGAATGAAATAAAGTAATACCAAAAGTTTCCAAAAGGGATGGTTACAAATCTTTTGATTATGCAGATTTTTGAAGATGGCCAATGTTTTAGTTGATACCATGTTAATGCTAATATTTTGTGATATTGATGATGCTTGCATGTTGATACAAGATCATGATAGTTAATCTATATTAAATTAAAGAATTTGTTCTAAATGAAGTAATTTGAATGGTAGATTTTGAAACAAACATTTCTTGAAGTAAAGCTGACAATCAAAACTGAGTATCTTTTTTCCTTTTTTCATGTAAACAACTCTTACCTTGAAATTAATTTCTAGTTCTTTGAGATATTATTAGCTTTGTTTAGCTGCTAATGATTTCTTATGATGGAATTCTGAAATATGCATCAGAAGTTACTATCGTTGCACACACAATAATTGTCGAGTGAAGAAGAGGGTTGAACGCTTATCTGAAGACTGTCGAATGGTGATAACAACTTATGAAGGTAGACACACTCATTCTCCATGTGATGACTCAAATTCAGCTGAACATGAATGCTTTGGCTCATTTTGACAACTCAATAAAAGGAAGAAAAGCCATATCGTAGTGTTTGTATAATGTGTGCATCTGTTGTAAGAATCTTTCATGAGGGATTGCATTTCTTTGTATAAATTAAATGGCTATTGTTCAAAATATTAATCCAAATCTGAATTATATGCTTACTGTATCCATTGCTTGAGTGTTGAGACCAACTAATTCTAATTTAAACAGACTTCATAATATTATATGTGCAAAGCTAAGGTCTACCCTTTCATACAAAATTCTATTTATATCCCAATCTTTTTATCTTTATTTTTTTTTCAAGGTTTTTTTTTTTTTGTCAATTCCATGGGCCACCTTAAAAATTTGCTAAGGCTATGTTTGGTTTGAAGGAAAAGGTAGAGAAAGGAAGGGAAAGACAAAAACCTATACAAGGTTTGTAAAGGTTTCCCCACTTTTCCCTGCATTTTCCAATAAACCAAACATAGTCTAAAAGAATGAGAAGGGGAATTGCACCTAGCTAAAGGAGGGAACATAAATCTTCAGCCCCACCATACGAAGGAAATGACAGACTACCCACCATACGCCTGAGATGCAGATTAGTGAATTGGACCAGGTGAGCTTCAAATATAAAGGAGAGAGAGAGAGAGAGAGAGAGAGAGAGAGAGAGAGGATCTGAATATGCTCTAGAATAGTAGAATAAATTTGGGTTGTTAGTAGAATTCAAGGAGATTAAATGGAATAGTACCATAGGTGAAGATATTTGTAACGAACCAAATGTGGGAATTTACAATTTTAAAATCCCTACCTTAAGTGGATTTGGAAGTATATGGAATTCATTTAATTTTATAGTTGGGATATCCATCCTCCACAACTTACGATTGTCTTTGGATTAGGATGGATTTGGAATTGGAAGAGGAATCAGATTTGTCAATATTGTGAATCTCTGATTCTGTCATTTGGCTACATTTTTCATTTTGGTGCAGGAAAAAAGGCTATGAATTCCCTCTTATAGAAGAACTCAGAATGGGGGAGGGGCGGGGAGTTACTTCGTTTCCTTGGAATTGAATCATGAAAGGAATTGAAATGCAATTCCACTCAAACAATGCAAAAGAAGCCTAAAAGATTTTGACAAAATGGTTACACCATAATATGCGACTTGTGTAACCTTCGGTATTGTGTTCTGTCCACTAGTGCCCTAGTAGAAGCCTGAACAACAAGTCATCAGACGTATAGGAAGCTTCCACAGCAGTAGATCTATGAAACCGAAAATTTTGGTTCGGTTTTTCGGATTTAACCGAACAATTCTCACCCCCTAGTGGAGTGCCCCCAGCCACTTCCACGCCCAGAAAGAAATGTATTGGGCCCAATTGTTTTGAGTGTAAAGTGGGCCTCCAACATTTAACAAAGGCTGGTGGCAGTGAATTTGCTTCAACTCAAAAGGATATTATTTAACATAAATTAGGAATAAAAAATTGCGAGATGAACCAGTTTTTTGGACCCTTAAAAGCCCAAAGTCTGCAAAAGCTAAAAAAAAGAAAAACCTTTGAAACCAGGTTTTTGGGCTTATTTTAGGCCATAAAGAAACTTATTCCGAAGGAAGCTGTCATGGTGGGCCTTTGGTGACCAACAAAGCCCGGCGTATGAAATGTGGGCTCAGTGGCCTCTTTAGGATAGGGCAAGTGTGGTAGGTGTTTCATGGTGAATATGTATTTGATTTACTAGACCCACATTCTTTCATGACCATGAGGCCACTGTAAATCTAGTAATGGCCCTGTTATCATTTTCTCTGAATGGTGATGTTTGTGATTAACAAGAAGCAAAAAATGGAGGCATCACATATTCTCATACATATACAGTTGAAGGATTCCAAAGTTACTATTCATGGAAATACGAGAAACAAAGACTTCACTCTCTTAGAATGGCCAGGTGGCAAGGTCAAGTCCGGCTGGTTGAAGTTACAGAAGACAAAGTTGTTCTCTACATTTGAAATTTGAATTGCACTGAAAAATGTGTTATTTTGGTAAAAGTTGGATGTAGTTCAATGTTTTCATGATCAAACCTATGTAACTCAGCTTATTCATATAAGAAGTCCTCCAAAGAACAAGTTTTTGGTATATGAGTTGATTTTCGTATCCGCATATTATTACATCAAAAAGCGTCTGATGACATCAAAACAATGACCATCAGTGAGCTGTGGTCCTTGTTTAATACGTAGGCCTTAATTTCAAATGGCTCAGAAGGCTTTGACTGTAATTTTCACACTAGGGGTTTTGAGAGGGAGAGGCTGTTTCGTTGTTATTTTATTTGAAACATAGTGGAAGGGTCTATGGCATAGAAGTTCATCAGTTTTCCTTCTAGGGTTCAAATGAAACACTGTGATAGGGTCTGGTTTCTTTTTCTTTTGTAGGCACGTAGAATAGCTATCAGTAGAACTAGAAACTCAAGTAGGAGCACCAAAAAGTAACTCTACCATCTTTCCTGGATCAAGCATTCAATCAAGCTAGTGACTAGTGACCTCTTCTGAGTAGGTTAATATATTTCCTTTGATCTATTAACAGACCTGATGAAGTCATGGTAAGGACTTTTTTTTTTCTTCAATTAGGGGACGTTTGGGAAATCTTTTTGGGAAGATGTTCTGGTCAAGGTTCAAACTATTATTATGTATCCGTCCATATCAGCCGATAAGTATCGTGGCCTTCCCGATATACCCCTACAGGAGGTGTTTCAAAAAATTTAAAAAATACAAAAAGCATCGATACAAGCCGATATGTAGAAGACAGCATTGAGCTTTTGCATTAAGATATAAGCATCCTGAAGCCCATTTGGTCAAGGCATGTCTTTCCGTATGAAGACGAATAGAAAAAAAAAAAAACGCAAAAACTCCATTTGGAGCTTCTCAAAAATCACCTGTTTTGGGCTTCTCTCGTCTTTTCGATGCATCTGCTTTTGGCAGCTAGATCTATCGCAAACCAAACGAGAAAAGACCAAATCGTAGTCTGCCGAGCTTGTAAATAACCAACAGACCGCGTGGAAAGACACACCAAACGGGGCCTTACTTAAAATTCGTAGGCTTATCTTATGATGTTCAGTAGGAACCAGTGTTTTCAAACCACCATTAATCTAGACGGCTTGACCATTCGGCTCGGGAACCATCCAGGTAACCAGTTCCATTTCACCCTTAACCCGGTCCTTACCTAAAAACTGTTGATTTGGTCAGTGACCCGCTGACCTAGGTGGTCGAACTGGTGACCTGTTTGATCTGTTCAATAGTTTTTGGATTTTTATTTTTTATTTTTATTTTTAAGTTGAAACAAGCCATTCACTTAAATCGAACAATCAAACCATCGACTCAAAAACCGATGGACAGAACGGTTCTGATTCCTGGTCAAAACCTTAGTAGGAACCAAATAATCCAAATATAAATTGCAAACCAAAAGCTATTTCCAAGAAAAACAAACGCCCTTGGTTGGACCATTCTCTTTGTATGGGCCTATAACAGTCATATTATATTTGCTTTTCGTTGAAATCAGAATTTCTAGAGCCTTCCGTCGTCCACATACTTACATGTTGAAAAGTGGTGATCACGTGAAAGATTTGGACAAAAAATTTAATGAGCCCCAATAGGGAGACCCTTAGGACCAAACAACAGGCTTTGGATGTATCTGGGTTGGTGGGCTTGGAGTTTACATTATTTGAGGATTACAGTCATTGAATTTTGGATTAGGTCGAATGAAATTCAATTGATTTGAGAAGTTGTTTGTCTGAAATCTGGATGTTGAAGTTGAAAACATGTTATATACTGTTGGGGGTTGGGCATGAGAAGGTTGAATCTGGATCAGAACCTAGTTGAGTCCTGGCTCAAATCCATCAAGTAACTGAATGAGAAATGTTGAGGTGAATCCGTATCTACCTCATTTTCACATTTGGCTTAGTTTGGAACGAGTACAAATAGAGTGTAAAATCTTGTATTTTATATGTATTTATACTGTATATATTTGCATTTGTACTTCTTCCAAATTGAGCATTCGGGTCAGTTTTTTGTCTGAATTTGCTCTTTTCTACATAAGGATCCTTTACCCATTAAACATGTCTCGGTCACAAGGAGAAGGTTTGATATGTTATAAAAATTTCGGCCTTATGGACACTTGCTCTCAGTGTTTTCAAACCACCGTTAACCCAGACAGTTAGACCGTTTGGCCCAGAAATCGTCTAGGCAATCGGTTCCCTTTCACTTTTAACTCAGGTCTTGGCTAAAACTGTTGGTTTGGTCAGTGGCCCATTCAACGGTTTTTGACCTTTTATTTTTAAATTAGAATTAGCTATCTGTTTAAACCAGATGATCGAACCATCAACCTAGAAACTAGGGGCCAGATTCAGAATTGGTTTTTAAAACCTTGCTTGCTCTATGATACCCAAAGGTCATTGACCAAGCAAAACTTCTGTGAATTTGATTGGTTACAAATTTTCCTGGAATATGTCTTTTCGGTGTCGGTGAGAGAAAATCCATACTGCCGACATGATACTGGGCTTTGACCAAGCTAAACTCCGTGAATTGTGATAAATACCACCAGATTAGTTATCACTTTTATGATATTGGCCACTTGTTTGATTGCAAGTTTTTTCTGATGACATGCCTTTCTGGTAGGGGTCGGCTAATCGAACCATAGGGGTTTTTTTGAAATGGAACCGGTTTTATCGGTTTTTTCTATATTCTCAAACTAAAACCAAACCGATACTATTTTGACCAGTTTGATTTTTCAGTTTTTTGTATTTATAACATATATATAAATAAATATAAATAAAATATTATATTATTAATAATAAATGATATATATATATAATATACATATAAACACATATATCGATTTATTTAATTAACCGCCGGTTTTTTTCTAGGTTAATCGAAAATCAAATTAGTCCCTCGACTTTTCAGAAATACCAAACCGATCAATTCAGTTAACCCCATTTTTCAATTTTTTATGAAGGCTCTACTTTCTGGTGTCATTGTCCACCCCTATAATCGAATTAGGGGGTGTTGACAACATGATTTTATTTTTGAAAACAGAAAGAACTGCCACATCAGTTAATATTTTTTTTTTCATATTCCATTAGGGTAGTGAAAAAGTATGGTATACCTCATCCTTGGGTGTACTACATATCAACTTTCATATCAACTCGC